GTACCCAAGTGAACGTTCCCGTAAAATTTCAGCTTTCTAGCCTTTCTGATTCCCGAGTTAACGACTTACTCGTGAAAGTCTTTCACGGGTAAGTCGCTAACTCGGGAATCAGAAAGGCTAGAAAGCTGAAATTTTACGGGAGCGTACCCTGCCCATGTAAGTCTTAATGAGCGCCAAACCAGTCCCCGGGTACGCGTGGTACCCACGTACGGGTCTGTGAAAGTTCTTCGCGGGCAAGTCGCTAACTCGAGTACTTGAAAAGTTAGAACAGTGCAATTTTAAGGGAGTGTTTCCCGTCCAATTAGGTATTGATGAGTCCAAACCCAGCCCTGGGTATGCGTGGTACCCACGCACGGGCTCACCAAATTTTTCCTTGGGTAAGTTGCTAACTCAAGAACCTGAAAAGCTAGAAGGCTGTTTTTAAGAGGATGTCCCCCGTCCATGTAAGTCTCAAAGAGCTCAAGCCCAGACATCGGGTGTGCGTGGTACTACGTACGGGCCTGTGAAATTTTTTCACGGGTAAGTCACTAACTCGAGAACCTGAAAAACTAGAAAGCTGAAATTTTAAGGGGGTGTTTTCCTGGCAGTTCTGGCGGCCAGTCTTAATTTGTTTAGTTAGAAGCATTTTGTCCTACCGGCACTTTTACTGCCGGGAAAACCGTGCCGGTAGGACAAAAACTGTGGGGAACTATGCAAAAAACGCATCTTCGAACGGGCAGCCCGTGCGTTGGCCAATTATTTTCTTTTTTTTTTTTTTTTGCTCGCGAAGAATATAGACTGTTTGTAACGAATGGGCAGAAGATTGAATTGCATCTTCTTCCAACACTGTCCCATGCTTTTCACTTTTTTCAGTACATGCATCGCATGGATGGGCCACCGGCACGACGAAGTCGCAGTAGAGATCACACAGCCGTGCGTGGATTCAATCATTTCAAGGGAATCGTCTTAAAAAGTATGCCAGTATAAATTAACACTTTGTGCAGATTTTTATCCTAAAAATTAACATCTTCTGCGCTAAAACGGAACAGACGCCCGGCTTAAGTCGTCCAGCCCCATTCGTCGACTTTGGAAAATTTGGTCAAAATCCATCAAAGGCCTCGGCCATTCTCCCCTCCAAGTAATTTTTATACGTACTTTTATCCAGCTCCCTTTGGATCTATAAATTTGTGCACTTCTGCAACACGATCAGTCCATTGTACCGTTGCTGATTTTTTGCAGCTCTGATAAGACATCCAAAGAAGCCAAATTCCGGGAATCGTAAATGTGCTTTGGTGAGATTAAGTAATGGTAAGGAAGTATGTGCATACATCCCAGGTGTTGGTCACAATCTGCAGGAACATTCCCAGGTTTGCTTTTGCTTTCTGAGGCAATAATCAGCAGGCAATTTCAACCGCATTTTTTCGTCATCAGCATCACCTGTGGTAATTCGTCCTCAAGGGCTGAATGCCGTGCAAAAGTTTGGAAGAAAGATTAGTGTTCCTTTAACTTTCGTTGGACGCGAAAAAAGACATCCAACCTTTCAAGAGAAAAAATGTTAGACTTGAACACAGAAACGCTTCAGTTCTACCAAGCAAAGAGACGTTGTGAAATGATGAAAAATGAGGTGGTCTGCTCTGTTTTTATTACTTTCCTGATCTAAATGTTCGACAGTATCAGTCTGTTAGTTGTCTGACCTGCTTTTCCACTTTTCTGTCGTACTCAAAGTTGGGGTAGCCACTATCAAGGAGCTGAACTTTCACAGACGAATTTCATCTTTCTTTTTAACTCTCCCGTTTATACTTTATCCACAGTACATATTTTTTTTTGGGCTCACAAACGGTTAACGTATTTCCTGGGCATCAAAATTTCGATTTCAGCACCTTTTTGTTTAGCGAAATTACCGGCAATAAGCGCCGTAATATGTGAGATTGGAAAGACTTTCGAAATCCTGGGATTTATCTGGAATAAAAAAATACAGTGGAGAATTTACAAGTTATTGAGAATTTTGGGAACCATC